GCACACATACACACACATGGTGATAGGAAGACTGCAGCCTGTTCACACTGATGGTGATACATTTAAAACACATTAACCCGTCAGAAGTTCCACTCTCTAAAGTAATCTACAATGAATACCATTCTCATGTTGTAGTGTGGACTGAGACATGTTTTTTTAATTTCCTGTTTTTCAGGTGAATCTTTATGTATCCATTTATGGTGAAAATGTCTTTATTTACAGAATGGAAAACACAAAATCCAGGTGCCAGGTAAAATCCAAAATATAAAAATACAGTAGGATGTCAGTCAGCCATTGGCTGCTACGACTGTTATATACATTTTTTATTTTCCAGGATTAAAAATATATATATTTTACTTCACCAACATTGACTGTTTAGTTGATCCTTTACATAAAATCTAATTTTAATCCATTTTAGTTTCAGGTTGTAATCCAACAAAATAGGAAAAACACCAAGTGGGGTGAATACTTTTGCAAGGGCTCTAGGGCGGTGCTTAGCTAACTTTAATCAGCAGATTATTGATAATGAATATAATCTTGTGAAGGTGAAGTGTTTCTTATGATTTATCCACATTCATGAGGACACGGTCCGCAGGAAAGTTGATAATTAAGATAAATCATGTGTGTTTTAGGGGTGTGGAGTTCAGCTCTGTTTTCACTGGAGAGTCGTGCATGTTCGCACGCACGCACGCACACACACACACACGCGCACACACACACACACACACACACACACACACACACAATGATGTCAGTCAGATTCCATCTCTTCTTTGGGTTGTGTGTTGGTCCAGAGGGTGTGTCTAATCAGTGATTTGTGCTGAATCTGATACGTTTTCAGCTTAAGGAAACAAGGTTCAGCACAAAGTTTTGGGAACAGAGCAGCTTAAACTTACATGCAGTCAGTTTGATGTGTGTGTGTGATGAGACAGGGGAAGGAGTTTGACAATAAATGTAAGGCCAATGTCAAAACAAAATGTATCTGCTTGTACGCGAGTGTCGGACTGATCAACCAAATTGCAATTTTTGTCGACAAAACACTGCTACACAGGTGCTGGAGCAGTGGAACCAGGCACAGTACTTGATTACAGACATTTCAAGGTAGTTTTAGCATTTATTATTCATATTATATTTTGAAAATTGTCAAATTCTGATGATAAATGTTAATAAAAAATGTGCGCAGCTTTACACCCATCAGTATCAACATTTAACATACAGTAGTTACACAGTACATCAGTTAGCACTGGACAATATACAGAATTGTGATACAAGACTATATATTATCTTAGATTTTGGATATCGTAATATAGCGATATGCGTTTTCCTGGTTTTAAAGGCTGCATTATAGTAAAGTCATGTGATTTTCAGAACTTGCCAGACTGTTCTAGCTGTTCTAGCATTTGCTTTTACCCACTTAGTCATAATATTCACATTACCTATGAGTTTTCAAAAATCGCATTGTGTACATTTTTTTGTGAAAGCACCGATGGTCAATCATACTATATCGTCATAATACCGATGCTGAGGTTTTGGACAGAAATATTGTGATATTTGATTTTCTCCATATTGCCCCAGTATCAGTTCAACCCATGTGTGAAGTAAAGAGATATAGAAAAGGGAAAGACTTCAAAGGGAGAAGAGACAGAGAGGGCTAAAGACTTTACCGATAAACCGGCTGTAAATCAGGGCTGGGCGATGTGGAGGAAATCTAATTTCAAAGATTGGGGGTTAGTAGTATCAGTTAATAGCAAGAGTTCAGTAACAATTCAAGCATTACCTGAAACGTAAACGTTTGAAATAAGAATATTTGCCCTTCTTGGCCCGATGTCATCAGGGGGAAATGCCAAAACCTAATCTGAACCAGGAACAACCCTCATTACCTCAGTGTCGAGGCTTTGACTGGACACGTCACTGAATCCATGATGTCATTCGGGGATCACGTGACCTCTCCAGACCTGCCTGAACGTCGTCTCGGGGCTGTCGGTCAGCAGAGTTTCACTGCGTTCTCCACAGAAACTGACCTGTTGCGTCAGCCGCAGGTTAACCTTATACTGACCGATGAGAATACTGCTCATGGGTCCACTAGGACTATCCCAATTATGTTCTTTGCAATGGATCCTTAGCTGAGTCACTCATTAAATAGCCCCCATCTGATTTTTACTTTATGTTTCCACAGCCGAATAATAAAATCGCACAATGCATACTTGCACATTTTCCCCAATAAAAGCAGCAGATATTAACGCACCTCATCCCATGATTGGTTTAAGTTAGCATGTGTAAAAACAAAAAAACAAAAAAACAAAAAAAAAAAAACACTACAATCTATGCTAACAATGTTAATGCTACAGTAAAAAGACCAAGTTTAGCCTTAGGGGCTAATGCAACAGCAATTTTAGGTGAAGTAGTAGAAGTGTGTACTTTACGAGCCGAGTATCCTCACTTCCTGTATATAAAGAGCATCAGTTAAACAGCTAAACTGATCATACGTGTCAGTGCGTGATCATGCTAATGAAGCAGTTGGCTGGTCGGTTAGCTGGCTGGCAGGACTTCACACACGAGCTTTGTCACAGACAGCGAGGCTAAACGGAGCGTGACTGATGATCGTATCTGACGACAGCCAAATTCATCACACCAGGAAGTGTGTAGGTGAGGAGAAGGGCGCTCAGCAAAGGAACCGCAACACCACAGCTGTGCTGTCTAAATGTAAAAAAAAGTATTTTAAAATCAATAAGTAAGTACTGCAATAATTAAGTAACATCATTGCAGAAACCAGCAGCTTTAATTACGAGAAACATTTGCCCTAATACCATGTTAATGACATAAGGAAGGTAATACATTTATGAGTTTGTAATTCAAATACAGTTTACATCAACATGCAGGAAGAAGTTCTTAAGTAGCGTCCAACCAATAAATCCGTAAGACAATATTATCGAGGTATAATTGCTCATCAGAAATATATATATACAGTATATACACACAAGAGACAAGACATTGCAGTTCATAAATATGTTTCCACTTCACAGAAACTAAGAACAATATTTCCATTTCCATATTTCATCCATAAAAAAAGAGTTTGTGTCCCACCCAGTGGATATATTGGTAGAAATATGTGCTAAATTAAACCGATCCCAATCAAAAACGTTTGTTAATGTTCTCATTTTATTTAAAAATATATATATCAGTTGATATAAGTTTACATTTTATGAAGAATAAATAATGAGTCAAATCATTGATTAGTTGATGTGTGAATATCCTGCTTTTCTCTCTTTTATATCATTGTAAATTGAATATGTTGAATATTTTGGGGGTTCTGGACTGTTGGAAAACAAACAAATACGGTGATGGAGCATTTTTCAGTTTTTTTGTGACATTTTAGGAATTCACTAATCAATCAATCTATTTAAAAAAATGCTTGAATAATCAATAATAATCAGATGAAGCCTTTTGCAAAAGAACCTTTTTTTAAACCTCACGTTGCAAAGTCGTCTGGTCACGAACGAATACTTAGTGTGTGAATCACACTCATTAGCAACACTGACAACAACCATCTTGGCATGAAGTACAATGAAATCCTGTATTATGCAGCATCGCAGTACATAAACAAAATTAAGTCACGCAGCAGTAGCCGCAGGTGACGGTTGGTGTCTGATGAGCTCTTATCCGTCACTAATTTCCAGCCTGTCGTTGGGTGTAAATAGGTTAAGCAGTCATTATCTCAGCGGGGCTGATTCTCAGGGTTTGATACGCTGCCAACGTGGTGACAAAGCTCATCAGCACTCACACACAGTCTGAACCACTGCCAGATGCTGCATACAAACACACTACCTCACATCTTCATAAAACCACGTTCATATAAATGAATCTCTTTTACTCTTCTTCCACTTCATCATTCCAATCTCAGCCATCCCATATTTCTCTCTCTCCGTCTGAATGTCTCCCTCTCAGCAGAGACAATCCAAAGTAATCCTGAGTTATTGTAGTAAACACACCAAATGAAAGCGATTCTGGGTTACTGTGCCACAGAAACAGCTTGACTTCATGTTATCTGTTAGTGGTTTTTAACTGTCACCAGGTTCACTTCCCCTCTACAAAGCCACCATCTCCTCCAGCAGGCTATACATCAAAATGATGCGTCCTATGAGACTACAACCAAGCTCACAGTTATTAAGGCTGAGAATAAACATATGATATATTTATATGAGATATCACAAATCTTCATGTTCAAAAAGGCAAGTTTGAGTCAGTGTTTTAGAAAGGGGGAGATAGAAGGTTGGTGACATGAAAGGCCCGTCCAGCCCGGGAATCGAACCCATGCTGTGAGTCAACAGTGTTGGCCACTACACCGCCTGTCAAAGTAAACATAAGCAAAAAATGCATATTATCTGTTTACAATGAAAAAACAATGCATACAAGCAGCTGCCAGAAATGAACACGGTGCAGACGCACGAGCATCCTTTAATGTATTTAATTAATAGGTACATATACAAAACAATACTTTAAATACCTCATGTTTAGGAGTATAACGCATAATTACACAAAACCTAAAAATGATGCATAAGAGTATGATGCATACTTTTCAATCATGTCTTATTAAAGACGGAGAAGGACTTTGCATGAATTAAACCCAATAAATAAGACCACACCTACACCAGGCCACCTCCTTAGGTCAACATTAGTCATGATCTCCTCTCAAAGAGCACTTCATCTGAGCATGTGTGGGTAGAATGTTGCCTTTCTGCCTTTTACCTCCAGGCAGTGAGGAAATGTGAATTTAAAGAGAAAAGCTGCATCACGACCAGTGACACGCACCACAAACGCTAAAGGGCACCGTGGATTTACAGCCTCAAACAGAGAGGGAACGTGAGTGTGAATACTCTGAACCAAAGCTGAACTTGACCACAAAGCCCAGATAAAGACACGACCAATGACATCCATCTCCTTCCTCAAACTTTAAGGTAACGTTGAGACTGATAACAAAAACATAGCCGTGTGTCTCTCACCTTTGTCGCGGCTCTGAGGACACCGAGTTGCAGCTCTGCACAGACAGCAGTGTGGAGGACTTCCGCGGTCCCAGAGGTGACGGCAGCATGCTGGCGTTGGACAGAGACGGAGACAGCAGGTTACTGTTTCCCGATGGGAACGAGTCTCTGCGGCACTCCAGCAGCACCTCTGCGCTTCCCACGCCGTTAAACCCGGTGTCCGACGGCAGGACGAGGATAGGCGGTATGTTGAGGAGACCCATCCTCGGTGCCGAGGAGGGATTAACGTCCCCGCAGCTCACGGCCACTGCCAAACTGGAGAATAGCCCGTAGCTTCCAGTGGCACCAAGCTCCGGACACAGCTCGCCCGCTGCTGTAGAGCCGGAGACGAGTCCCTCCAAGTCGGTCTCTTTGTGGTGACGGCTTCCTACGTGGTCGGCTGAATTACTCTGGACTGGCCGTCCGTCCAAAGAGATGTTACTGAGAAATAAAAGAGCGGCTTGTCTCCGGCGCGAGTTCTCCCGGTTCCTCCGCATGTGTTCCCTGTTATTACCGTGCGTCTTTTTGCCGCTGGCGGTTATCGCAGCGCTGTGCTGGCCGTACGCAGCAGCCGCCGCCATGCCGCCGTCCCACCGAGGAAGTCTAGTGGAGGATCAGCTCGAGACCCGCTGCTGTCAAATCCCTTTTAGCCGGCGCGAGACGGCTTTACGCCCTCCTCCACTCTCATTGGCCAAGGCAGGAGAACGTGATAACGTGCGTTTCGCCACGCTCAGAACTCTTCCTTCTGTTACAAACATGTAGATATACTGATCATAAGTGGTAAAGAATGCACTATAACAAATTATTGTATTTTATATATTTTCTTTTATAAAACATTGATTTAAATTGAGATCAAGAAATATTTTTTAAATTATTTTGGGCCAGGTCACCATTTTTCATACTTTTTTGCGTATCTCCTTCTTAAAGCAATAATACACTTAAAAAAATATGAAAACAATGTAACAAATATACAATAATATTTGAAGTGGAAGCAGATTATCCTTTTACCAATTAGTACCAGAGAGTGTAGTGCCTTTTAACATTTTAAATACACTATTAAAAATATTAATCCCTCAGCCAACTAGGAATCTGATAATAATGATAATGATACTAGGTGTCTGTTTCTAAAATCTCATTTTGACTAAATGTTGATTTTAATCATGGTTTAGATTTGTGGCTTTTAAGTCTTAGGTTATGTCCCTGTTATATAAACAATCAGATAAACAAAAATATAATAAATAACTCCTGTCCTATTGTTATGCATCAAGGTACTATGGTTCCAACCTGGATATAATGTATGTATGTTAATTGTATACGCTCTATTCTTTTTGTTTCTTTTTGCATTCAAGTGGTGTTACCTTCCTGTTACTGTTTTCGGCAGTGTCCGTGTAATGCCTCTGACATGTTCATCTCTGCAGTATCAGGGCTGCTGAGGCATTAAGTGAGCTGTCACTGCAGTTCTACCTGACAGCAGCGTTGATTGGCTGTTGGCACTTTGTCATGAAACCTCAGTGGATTTTCTCTGCACTGATCTCTGCAGTGACACCAACACATGGGCGGAGGGGCACCTGGTAAACTCAGCAGGATGACCACACTGTGTAGTATGACTGTTAGCTTGCTAAATATAATCCGTGGGACACGCCACATTGTAATCCCTGCAAACTGGGAGTTTGTTATCTTACACTAACAACCTGATCCCCTACATCTGCAGAGCAACACATGCAACACAACTGACCTTCCAGCTGCAACAACAGCAGGATGGAAATCCAAAAAGTGACATCATTTATTTCAGTTTGATGTCACTGGAAAGTATTTTTCATTTGTATGATGTCATGTTTGATCATAACACATGTTTTTGTACATGTGAAGAAGCCGGCTGGGGCCTTAACTACGAGCTCCACAATAGAGATTGTAACAAAGAAAAACATTTCTGCACTGCACTCTGTGCACTGAAAGGTGTACGGTACCTTTGTTAAGTGTTGATCTTAGGTGTGGTCTGTTGTATTCATGGCTGCGATGTAGCATTGCAATATATTTTTAGGATTATTGTAAGATGTTATTACTTTTGACAATAATACATTGGTGGGTCAGCTGAAATAAAACATAATTATTGACATATATATTACTTTATAGATATATAAATACTATCCATATTGAAATATGGATTCAAAGAATGTTCATTCCTGCCACAAATGCAAACCATAACAAATATTCATGGGTTTAGAGTACTGTGTTGTAGCAGAACACAAAAATAATATTTTGCCTAGGACTGATAGTAAACAGTGTATCCATGATGACGCAAGGCGGAGGGGATTCTGTGTATGTGGGGGATGATGATGATATGATAGTAAATGCCGCCACATGATGATTGCAAAGCTGTAATCCGATGATGAGGATAAGGTTCATACAATGTGCCTGCATGCAAACACACACTCATGCACACACACATGCACACACACACACACACACACACACACACACACACACACACACACACAGAGCTCTAAATGACCTCAGAGTTTATCTCCTATGTCCTGTTCTGATAACAGAACAGAACATTTTCTAATAGTATTTCTTGGTATCATTTTGACTGATATGAATTCTGATGACCTTTAACCTTTAGAAGCAGTTCAAGATGTATCTACAATATGCCTTCAATTAGCCAAACTTCCAACAGAGAGGAAAGCTTTTCATTATTTTCCGTGCGCCTCTCTCTCTACATCCCTCTATCTCTTTTCTCATCACACCCAGTACTCTCTGTGCATGTATGCTATTAAATAACTGTGTTTTTACCGTTATTATGTATTTGTTCCATCAATCCTGTTACATTTACAGTATTGTTTTCACTGCTGCTGTTTAATAAAGTTACTCTGTTCATGATAAATTAATTGAAAAGTAAATGCACACAGCGTGAGTCTATTGCATCATGACTAACGTGACTCGGGTGAAGCCCATGGTTGTACTGACTCTGCCGCTCTGATGTTCAGTGAGTCTGGCAGAGGAGAGGACCGGGGGGCACAGAGAAGCAGTGCACCATGGGAAGGTCATGATGTTGCTGCCAGGATAATGGGTCAATGCAGAGTTGAGAGCATAGACTGTATGTTGGGAGAGAGAGAGAGAGAGAGAGAGAGAGAGAGAGAAGGGGGGTTCTTATCATATTCATACCAACACATTCATAAAAATAATCTCAGTTTGTACTTTCTTTGATATTTTTATATCAAAACAGTAGTATTTACTAACAATATGGTACATCTATCCATATATTTATCCATCTATCATTCATCTGTTTTTTTTTAAATAATCCTATAATTTCTGACTAATAACTGAGCCTTTAGCTCACCAGTGGGAATGGAAATCAGCTCTTTCATCCTCAGTTGCCACCATGTGGTCACTGTTAGGTATTACATCCCCTACAGAAAATACCGTTATACTGGAAAGCAGCTTCGTGAATTATTTAGATGCCTTGATCTTATGCAAATTGAGTAACAGAGACTCGATTCAAAATGGATTCAGGAGGTCTTCATGGTGATATATGTATTTAAAAAAATATATATTTAGATTGTATTTTCTGATTCCATTTACAAATTTGTTAAAGGTAAGAAATTAAATACAGTGAGTCACATTATCAGACTCTTCATAAAACACTGTTGAACCTCCACTATCATTTAAACTGTGGAAACTGAAGCACAGTAATTACCTGGTAATAACTGTATAATTTTGTTTTTTTATTTTTATATCTTTTATAGTTATGAGATATTTAGATTGAAATTTCATTTATTTCGGATAATTTTGTCCGACACTAGTCGACATATACTCTAATCACGACCTTTGGATTGTGAAGCCTCGACAAGAAAACTCTACTGCCCCTTCTGAAAATGTCATTTTTCACATTTAGATATCATTGATCTCTCTCTTAAATGATAGCCAAAGGAAGAAAATTCAGTTTCATTCAGGTACATTTTAATACGAATGAAATACCGATGCACTAGAATACACAATCTGTAGTTTTCATTTTCATTTTAGCAGCAGTTATTTATTACAAGTTTAATCATAGTATACATTTTGCTGTCCATTTACTGTGTGATGCATTCAAAACTGCATTTGTCAACATTAAAAAGGCTGCCTCTGTCAGATGATTTATATTTACGGTTTATTGTGGAGAGAAAATTAACTGTGGACACGCTGCTCTTGCTCAGGTACACCGTGGCAGATTCAAAGTTCAAACTGAATTCAACAAGGAATCAATCGCTCTCTGTTTTCCTTCATCCCTGCATCAGAGGTAGTAGTCTTCCTCCTCAATGTCTCCGTGTGTGTCCTGGAAGCCAAGCGCCTGGATGTCGTGGGTGATGTCAGTAATGCGTCGGTTGAATTCTTGAGATCCTGAGGCCAGAGAGCAGTTATCATACCTGCTGGGGGGGTAAAAGACAGATGATGTAAATGATAACGCATCTCTCTGACTTCCTGCTTACTCAAATCATCGTCAGTTTAGAATGAACTTGCTTTTTCAAAAGTAAATAAAAGGTATTTTTTGTGTTTACTAAAGGTCGAAACTGGAGTGGTCTTGCATCAAAGTAAGAGAATGCATGACCAAACGCTACACTGTAAAAAAGGGTATAGGGTATAGAGGTAAGTTAGGGTATACCCTAACTTTACAATAACCTTATTCCCCAAATATGTAAACCAAAAGCCTTTCAGGAACACAATTATGTCACGAAGAATAGGGCCATCATCTCTCATAGGCTCACAGGAGATTGGTGCTCAACAAAATGCACCATATCAATAAGAGATGATGGAATGTGAGACAGTAGTGTGGTATTTAGAAGCAACCTCACAGACCAGTCAGAAACGGGTTTCAAACCAAGCCTTGAGACGATCACAAATCATAACCTACACCTCCTGACCTACATACCCTCTCATGGCCGTAGCTGATGTGTTGCTCATGCTGCGTTTGATGCGTCCAAAGCTGTCGGTTAAAATACCACCCTCACGGATCCCGATACTCTCCAGGAAACTCTCAAACACCCCGACGTCCTTGTCTGGGATGAAAGGACGCATGCCTGGGAAACAAAGATAACGAGTCTGTTTTTTATGGATAAAAATGACTTTTGTTGTTCAGCATTGTGTTTGGGTTGTGTCCTCTCTAGCACTATGAGAGATAGCAACACATGTGTAGGGCTTAATATTTATTAAATAGAAACTGACATCATTTCAACATTACTTTTATTGTTAAATAATTTTTACCTGAAGGTTCAAAACATGACTTCTTTCTAATGAATTTAGCATAAAAAAGGAATAATTGCCAGATGTTCAAACTGGGGATATCTATCATAATCACAAAAAATTACAATAATATTGACAACTATAAAACGATCCCCTTTGCATGAGAGTTTTATGAATTTTCAAGTTTCAAGGAGAGTTTTGTCTTAATGTGTTAAAGCTTCACTTGGAAACTTTACATAAAATAACTTGTTTTCATATTCTCAAGCTGTCACTATCCTGTCAATATTACATGAGATGCCGAATATTCCTTGTAACCGGTAGGCTTGGTTAGTAATTAAGATGCCTCATTCACCAGTTTAGTTGACTGTGATTCTATTTAAAAGTGATTTATTATAACTATGATATCTATATAATATAAGGAAAGACAATGAAGTGAACCTGGATGAACTCATGCGGTTAAAAATTCAGTTTGTGTGTTTTAAAATGTCTCAGTGAGTTAGCTTTTTATCTGTTTTTCTCCCCCTAAACAGTCATTATAGTGATTATTCTACACCAGCACAATGAGAAACACAGGGTGTGTGAACACTTCAAACCCTGTCTCTCTCTCTCGCTCACTCACTCACTAACGAGCTGAATTTGTTGCATTAAACACGAACATGTTTCACTCACTCATATAGTAAACTCATCTATACACACACACACACACACGCACACACACACACACACACACACACACACACGTCAAAACACAGTATACAGCTCAGTGGACGTAGTCACCATAACGTCACCTATTGGTTTGTGGACTGCCGTTTTGAAGCCTCAAGTTCAGCATTTTGGCCGTCGCCACCTTGTTTTTTTGCAACCAGAAGTGACACGAGAGGTGTGGAGTTAAGTTCAACCGAAGGCTGAATAAAACTTTTTTAGCTGACCGAATATGTTACAATTAACTTTCATGAACTGGAAACACACTGTGAATAGGTTAAAGCGCCCAGACCAGATTACAAGGTAGTATACTCTAAACTATAAGCATGCCCTGCTTTATGGTCTATTTTGCTCTATATGGGACCATAATTATCTAAATAAAGATTATTCTGATTTTAAACTTGGATACTTGAACTAGTGATTGAGACCATAAACTCATACTAACAATGTTTACTGAAGTAAAAAATCAATTGAGAAGTAGGGTCCTTTTCTCATTGACTTCCATACAATCTGACTTAATATTGCAACCAGAGGAGTTGCCCCCTGCTGGCCATTAGAAAGAATGCAAGTTTAAGGCACTTCAGGCTTCACATTTCAGACCCGGAAGTTGCCGCTTGCTCTTTCCTTTGCAACACTACCATAATAACAATAGGAATAGTAAGTTGTGGCTTGCTGCAAAGTTTCAGTCTGTTAATGAGCTCTGTGGCACGTGTGTGTGCATGTCTCTCTCTCTCTCCCCCTGTCAGTCGCTATGTGCCTTACCCATCAGCAGGAACTTGCGGTTGTCTCCGTACAATTGCAGGAGCTCGTAGCAGAAGTGGTCGATGTTTGATGCCAGTCTATATTCTCTCAGCAACACCGCAAAGTGCTGCAACTCCACCGGACTCAGCTTGTTACGCAGCTACACATGTATACAAAGAGAGACTCTGAAGAGCATACAAACACACAAACAATAACACAAACAATATTTTTTCTTTGTTTCCATTTTCCAATTTCAGCTCAGCCGTGACCTAGCCTACTATTCTGGCTAGGTCATGGCTGAGGAGTTCAGTTAAAACTGTTTCACAGACCCTCTGTCATTATAGGTAACATTTGTTAGCTTGTGAGCTAAGACTAATTAGTTGCATAAAGTAATTGCTTGGCAGCTAACATTAACTCATTCACTTGCCAACAAACTATGACGATTATGAATCAAAACGCTTCTATGAGAATACAATTTATATATGACAATTAATAAATGTATAATTGAATAATGGGTATTCTATTAGAAATATCAATGGAATATATTCCTGTTTTAGACTGCAGACAGACAGCAAGAACCGCTCTTCCTTTTGTTACTGTCCCTGTGTATTTGGAGTAAAGTTGTATTGCTCTTGCTATTACAGTAGCCTAGCTCATATTTAGCATTCAATATATCTTGAGGCTTCTGTTGGCAGGAAACTCTTCTTCTCTAGGCAACACACGCGCACACATACTCACAGTGATCATGTACTCCTGCATCAGCAGCAGGGCTGGGTTACTGTCTCCTCCCTCACTGGCTGAAGCGAGACTGCGATGAGAGTCCTGCAGCGAGAGAGATGAACTCTCACTGTACGTTTCACTGTAGTACAGCTCAAAAGCATCCTGGGAGCCTTCACTGAGAGAGCGAGAGAGAGAGTGACGAACTATATTATCGCACCATGGCCAGGTTATCATTATCAACAAACATTGACGGAGTAATTGATAAATTAATTTTAATAGAAGTCACAGTCTCTGAATGATCAATCATACAGTTCTCTGGGCTTTTATTGTTAAGTTACACATACATTCTTTCAATTCACAATAAAAAGAATTGCAAATAGACCCTCTGCTTTATCTAAAATGCATTCCGTGTCTGGACAATAGTACCAAAACCCATAACTACAGTAGAGCGGTTGGTAATAAGTTTATTTAATGTGGTAAAGATTTTCAAGGCTGTAAGAAAAGAAATGTCTAAATATTTAGGATATTTTGTGAATTGATAACACAATATATTCATCTGGAGACCTTACAATTTACAGAATCAGTTAGGACAGAATGTTACTCACTATGAGCTGCAGCAGCTAAACTCTGGATCATAACCGTAGGACATGTCAGTCAGACAGCTGTCACCTGCAGAGACAGAGCGTTAAGTGTAAACTTTACTATTAACACCCTGTAAGGAAAAAGAGACCCACAGCTGGCTGTGTTTGAAATTGCATAGCATACTGTTCATACTAAGTATGACGTCAAGTTTAGAAAATAGTGCTGTCACACTGCACAGTATATGTATTATGTGTTCGCAAAAAATGCCTGGATGCTACCTTAGCAAGAGTATGAGACGTAAGCTTACTGAACATACTCGACTGCCCCACAATGCACTGCGTCTGTGTTCCTGGAGACCGTCCGTCAGTTGTGTGAGATTTTAAGCCAGGCTTAAAGCTGTTATAATGTCACTTCATTAAGTTTTAAAATGTTTTCTGATAAGAAAGTAACTGTTTAGATTTACTACAATGTGTTGTCAGTTTATCCAAAATAAAGGCAGTATGCAATACATACAAATTGAGTTTGTACGATACATCAGTATACGCAATTTCAAACACGGACGCCTTGTTAGCATCCATGTAGAGGCTGCAGTATTCACTAAAACTAAATGCAAAGACATACTGATGATGTACTGCAGCTTTTCTTAGAGCGTTACCAGTAGGCTAATGAAGCTAGATTTCAAAGTTGTGATTAAATTGCAGTTTTTCTGAAGCACTGACAAGTGGTGTATCCTGACCTACTGCCGTGTGTAGTTGCAGGTCAGGATACTAACCAGAAATAGGTAGTATGAGATGAGATGTGTGTCCTATACTCTGCCACTATTTTTCCTCTGCTCTACTTTTGACATAGAGAAATCCCATGCGTCACTCACTTCTCTCCAGCCAATAGCGGTCCGGCATGGAGTGGTGAAACCCTGCTCTGTCGACACACTCGATGGTTTGATGGCCGTAAATGATCTGGAACATCTGACAGATCAGAGAACAGTACTCCTCTGCAGCATCCTGCACAGACACACACATAAACAAACAAAGACGCTGTCATCACACTGAGTTGGTAATCATTTTACAACAGGGCTGCACAACGAAATTTAAATTGTAGTCCCAATTTGCCACATAGGAAAGAAAGAAAAAACAACAACTTATTTATGGAGGGTGTAAGATGAATGAAGGAGTCTCAAAGACCCACCCTGTTCTCCACAGCCAGGATGACCAGGTTGCAGTAGGCGTCAGGGCAGGGCGTCGGCTCCAGTGGATTGTGGTTCCTCCTCTCCCAGCTGCCGTAGCTCTTCCCCCGTTCCCAGCTTCCAGTGCAGGCTTGCCGCCGCTCCCAGCTCCCCCCGCCACCACTACCACCACCTCCTCCCCTCCTTTCCCAGCTTCCAGCTCCTCCACCACCTCCTCCCCTCCTCTCCCAGCTCCCTCCACCACCACTACCTACCCCCAACCCCCAGCTCCCACTCATTGGCCTCGCTCTGCGGTTCTCCCAGCTCCCACCTGTTTTGCGTGTTTGCTGCCTCCTCTCCCAGCTCCCTCCCACCCTCTTCCTCTCTAAACTTCCTCCTCCTCCTCTCTCTCCCCCACCTCCTCCTCCTCTCTCTCCCCCACCACCTCCCCCTCTCTCCACGTTCTGGTTTTTGTCGTGGTTACTCCTGGACAGCGACGTCCTCCAGTCGACTCCACAGATGGTGTGCCGTCGCTCCATCGTGCCCCCAGCCGGACGAGGGTCGGTGTTGCTGCTCATGGTTTGACGTCGGCCATCCACGCCTGTTGGCTTTTTCCTGTCCAAGCTGTCGTCCCCAGCAACCACTGTATCCACGTTCAGACCTGTGGGATGAGGTTTAAAAACGTGTACGCTCTCGTTCTCATAGAAGAAGAGATGATCCATACTACCAAATGTCACTCACACGAAACCAAAAACGAATACACAAAAAGAAAACAAGTAAAAGACATTGATTATCTGTTCGCAAAACCGCCCCTGAAGAGAGATTGGTGCCTTTTCAGAAGTCCAAGAGAAAATATTAAGGAATGGATTAAACTGTGTGTCTGTCTGCAAACGTTTGCCTGTCAATGAGCTTACTACAACAGCAGTAAACCAGCTTTACTTCCAAAGGCAAGGTGGCATGTTACCAGCTAACATCATTTTGCGGGGTTACAGGTTCTGTTTGGAAAATACCTGCTTAGAGCCGACACATTTCTGCATCTACTGCTCTGAAATCTAATTTAACTTAATTTAATACTTTTTTACTCTGCATGGTCTTAGTCTTATTGTTGCATTCTTTCTAATGGCCACAAGAGGCAACTCCTCAGATTATAAAAAGAAGTCTGATTGTAAATAAGTCAGTGAGAAAATGACTCTACTTCTCACTGTATTTATTACCTCAGTAAACAGTTTAAACATGAGTTGATGGTCTCAATCGTGAGTTTCAAATCTTTTTCAACACAGCATGTTCGTTTAGTAAATTATGGTCCCATTTAGAGAGAATATGGAGGATAAAGCAACATTGTGATTGACAGGTCGCTGCCACGGTCCGTTTCGGTAGTTGCTGTGTTTTCGTCTTAGCACTTTAACCCTTTCACAGTGTGTTTACAGCTTCATGAAAGTTAATTGTAACATTTTTGGTCGACTAAAAATGTTTTATTCAGCGTTCGATTGTACTTAGCTTAGATGGTATCGACCAAAATGCTGAACTCGAGGCTTAAAAATGGCAAACCAATGGGTGACGATACATTGACTGCGTCCACTTCTTTTCTACAGTCTATGGCACTGTATAACCATATCCCCTGTACCATGAACTATGGTACAAATACACAAACCATTACAGCCCTATACTCTAAACTTTAGTGACAAACATCATCAAAATTGTGATGTGAGGAGCTTATCTTCCATTCTAAATACTCTTTTGTCAACTGAGAAGTGGAGGCATCATTAAAAACATACTCATTGCTTATTGTCCTTCAGTAAATGACAGTCTTGTCATCAGGTGTGTCCTCACCTGTCTTGAGGACCAGCAGGTGCAGTGCGTCGTCTCTCAGGTAGGAGGCAGCAGCGATCTCATGTGTGGGAATCCTCACCAGCAGCTTCTCGTTGTCTCTCCACGTCAGCAGCAGACAGCGAGCGGACAGACTCAGAATACAGTCCTGATCCACGCTGGTCTTCAACGGCAGCACCTTCAGCTGCTACTGACCAACACACAGGGAGATGTGATTGTAGATTATGGATCACTCAGACATTGTTGCAGCCCTGATAGATGAAACACTGGGAAAATTGGCATTGTCTCATAAGAGATTTAATGATTTTTGATCAGTGCTGAAATGATTAATACATACAATTATTTATTAACCTTGGCCGTCAATCACTGCTTATTGATTACTAATAATTAATAATGATTTAAATAACCAGGCCCCTAGTAATAAGACAGATCTACTAACATAGGAGCCCATGCTCCCTCTTAGACCAGTTAATATTTGCCTCCCGAGCTTTTCCAGAGCCCGACTGGTGACTAACTGAATAACTGGGTTATTGGACTTTTGCAGTTCGGCACCCAAACTCTGGAGCGATTTACCATCTAAATCTATCACCACTTTTACATCACTTCTTAAAACATTCTTCTTTTAAAAGCTTTGATCTCTGTGTGAATTTTATTTCATTGCAATTTTTTTTTATCTATAACGTATTATTATTATTATTATTATTATTATTATTATTATTATTATAACCCTGGTTTGGATTATTTATACATTAGTGATTAATTATCAATAATATATTGATTACTAAGCCTGGCTTTTTTTAGTTATAGATGTTGTACATCATTATCGACAGAAATGCTTCATTATAGCTATGTTATTGATAACTAAGCAGTGATTACTTATAGATAGGTTATTGATTACTTACCCTGGCTGTGTCCAATAGTTGAAGCAGCTCGTCTCGGCTGGAGGGGTTCAGTGAAACCGACACCCAGGTCAGGTGACCAAGGAACTAAAGGGAGAGGTGAAAGGTCAAGCAACTGTTGCTGTATGTGTATATATATACTATATATTGAATATGACAACAGTTGCTATATATATATGCATTTTGTTGTACTGTAGTGTATTTCAGGTTCTACCTTGACCTCCTTCTCTACATAGTCGAAGATGAGTCTCTCAGGGTGGATGAGGTAGTCCGGGGGATAGAGAGGGACAGTGTGCAGCGGGCGTCGGTAAACGCTGCCTCGATCCACCGGCCTGCGACCAGATTTTGACCAGACAAGCCGCTTAATAGGTGAGACAAAACTCTGAAAGGAGAGAGATGCATATAGGCATTGAGACAGAGAAGAAGATAAGAGAAGAAGACATTAAGCATTTTAAGGTGTCATAATTTCAGCAACATTTTCTCTGCATGTTCATGGCCCCGTGATAATGAAGACAAGCTTTTTTGCTGACCTTTCCTTTAGCGCCACCATCAAGCCAAATGTTGCACACAAGTAATCCCTTATCTCGACATTGTCGTCATAAACATTTTGAGTAAATTCCTGGTCCCCAGGGGCAACACATTCTCACTCCCAACTCGTTAAAAACCAACACTTGATCAGTTAACCAGCTTTCAGAGCAGCTGTCAGAGAATTTCAGAGTTTCAGAGAATGATTGGCAGGTGATTGGATTAATCATCTGTCAATCTGTCAATAAAAACACATTTTTCATCGAGGAAAGCCATCAGTGCCAATCTGTGTTCTTCTTTCAATGGAGAAATTCTCTCCATGTCTGATATAACTGTTGCTATAGCAGCATACGCTAACGTCTTCAGGAGCCGCCATTGGTCGACGCTCTGAACACAAAAGCATTATTTTGTGATCCACCTGCTGTGTAAGGTAATTTAAACATATGACGCTCTGGGTACTTCTCTAGCGTCAGTGTCGGACATGTCAGGAACAGAGTGTCAGATCCATTAATTTCCTGCATAGTGTCTTTTCAAAATAAACTTCCAATTACGTTTACTTTGTTTTTTGTTTTTACTTTGGCAAAAAACTACTTTAGGTTAGGTTTAGGCACAAAATGTAGTTGGTTCGGCTTAGGTAAAGATAAGTGTTTGGATTAAAATAAGTACATTTGTCACATAAAATAAGTCAACAAAACTAAGCTAAAATAGGTCAATGTTGACTTGGTGTCACACGGGACACAAACAGCAGTGTCCTGTGTGACAGTCTTGTGTTTGTTTGACCATCCCAAGACCCCGCCCACCTGCCCTCTCGCTCTTTATTCTAAGTCCGTTACTCAGACCGTCTAATATTGTCGAGGACGGGTTTACATTGGAGTCAGTTGAAAGCAAAGTGTGCCTCATACTGACGCTAAAGGGTGCCACGGTGCGTCAGTATCAGACGCCGAGGGGCACTGACCAAGCACCGGCATTTCACGAGTTGGGAGTGAGAACTGGTTGCCAGTGGATGTAACCTATTGATTTTAATGACCATGACCTTCTCTCTAGTCCTACCCGCAGGCAAAACTTTAAGCTCGACAACTGGGGAGTCTCTAAAAATGACTAAATCGGGAGTATGCTGTTTATGGCTATAATTATCCCAGCAGTCTCTAGTCACTAGGTGGGTGTTTTGGTTTTGAATCTGAACTAGAATATCATAGAAGACAGTTAATTTGTGTGAACATACATGCCTCTGTGTATTTGTGTGTACGTGTGTGTGTTAATGCAGTACATCCTCTTGGCTGTACCAGCAGTGATTGACAAGTAAGCAGTAATCTTTGACAGCTCCCTGCTGAGACTCACTGTCAACAAAGCTTCCACTGTTAGACACCTACTGACACACGCACACACACACACACACATTGATATACTGGTGCTGGAAGGCGTGAGGTGAATGAACGTGACACAGACATACACACATACACACACAGACACACTGAATAGAGAGAGGAAATTAGCTTTTTAGAATGAAAAACCTGTCTTGTCTTTATGAATTACAAGGACAGGTTTCTGCATATCAGACTGAGGTCTGATGAACATCTCTGCACTCAGCTGGATTTCATTGTAAGACAGACGAGTGTTATAATGAGTTTTGTTCTTCCGCTTATTCCAGTTTTTCTTTTTGAGGAGACATAAAGAGGAAAATAATTGGATTTTTGTAATGAATGTGCTTAATAAAACTAAAGTGCTGCAGAGCAAATTAATTCGGAGGTTTACGCTTTTTTTCCTTCTTCTGATGTCTCGCCATTTTTCTTTTAAAAATATTTTTCTTTTCGCATGCTGTTTTATTTAGAGTTTTAGAAAATAGGAGACCAGGCATCGAGAAGATTCTTCTCATTTACTGTTTTTAAAGAGTTAATTCAATCAATTCAATTCAATCGTGGAGAAATTTATCCTGTTGTTCGCAGGAAATGCAGCTGCTGAGCTAATGGCTAACAGGCTTGCAGGTTGGGGACATATTCAGTCACACTCTGTAGTGTGCTGTTGTTTACTATCCTTTACTATACTATTCTCATTTCATTCAATAAAGTATTAATGAAACATGGAAAAACAGCTTGCCAGTTAGTTAACTCCTGAGCTCGACCGCTAATAGGACTATACATTCAAATAGTGTCTTTAAGTATTTTACACTATCGACTCCTGCCTCAAACCATTCCTCTTTTGTGCAGCAGCTCTAGTAACACAGCTAATAAGTTACAACAGGTGCCACCAGTCTGAACTCACTGAAACAGTTTGCTCTTGGTCAACAGCGTAAATCTGGCTTTCAGAGTTTACTGAACTGCAAAAGATTCACACTGATTTACTTCACCCCTGCAAGTGAATTCACCAACTGGTCGCTGCGCTCCATTGAAATAAATTGATTTCCTCACAATTTATGTCGTTTTAAATGCTGGTGTGACCAGGCATACACTTGTGTTTGTTTGAAACTAAGGATTGCTGGAAAGAGCAGCATTTTTCAAAGGCTGAACAATGACACTAAAAAGGATTTGCTGTAAGGCACTCAGAGCAGAGCAAAAGTGACAGCAGGCCTACCTTCTTGGATTTCTTGGGTTCATAGTCCATTGCGATTCAGCCCCCCCCAGTACTGGTCCTGTTCTGGGTCAGATGAGTCCTGGTTCTGGTCACACTCCAACTGAATGTATTTTTTTTTATTTCAGTTTGTCTTTTGTTGTCTTTGTATCTGTCTCCCAGTTATTTTTTCCATCGTTCCTACTGTTTCAACGTCTCTCTCTGTTGAAGTTATTTTTGCTTCTATCTCGGCTGCTTCATTCTTGTTCTTTCTTGTTTCTACACTGATTGTTCTTTTGGGGCCATACACACACACACGCACACACACACACACACACACACACACACACACACACACACACACAC